GTCTGAATCTGTAAGCCAGACCCGTTCTGGTTCCACTTTTTGTGTGCTTATTTAGAATTTGGAACGGCCCGTTCTGATCCAATCTTCATGTGTTATTTTTTAATCTAGAACAGCCCGTTCTAATTGCAGAATAACCTGTTCTGAACGTGAACAGTAAATGATCCTAGTTGGGAAAATAAATTTGCACAATTGTTATTTGAGTAATTTTTTTTAAATAGTATTATTTGAGTAAAAAAAATTATATATAATATAATATAATATCTTCTTCATGAACTAATTTTATATAATAGAATTATGTTTGAAACTCATTTTGTTTGGTCTACTACAAATATTCGTTAACTTATTTGATCCAAAATTAATTTTATTCACAATATTAAAAATACTGTGATTGAAGTTATCCGAAACTTAAATATATGTAATTTTAAAAAATACTAACATGAACTCCCTTTAAACTTATATATATATATATATATATATATATTGTATAAAAGTAAAAAAAATGTTTAATTTTTTTTAGATTAAGATAAAATTTTAATTTAGTCAATATTATTAAATACTCTTAAATAAAAAATATTTCTAAAATAATAATGAGTATAGATGTAATTAAGGATATTTTAGTAAATATAGATATAGTATATATTTTATATGAAATTGTGTAAATTATATATATAATTAATTTTTTAATCTATATAAAATTAGTATTTTTATATATATAAGTTGAAAGAGAGAATTCACTTGATCCTTTGAATTTGATCTTTTGCTGCATACTAATTATAAGCGCATCACTTTATTTATATTAAATTCATTCAATTATTAATGGTCTTTGAACTGATTTAAAAACATATTATTTTTTACTTTGGAGGTAACGTGAAACTTAAAACTTGCGCATTTTTTGGTCCACAAAAAATAATATGTAAAGAAAAGATTTGAAGGAGAAAAAATATATAAATAAAATTTCAATAAATAAAATCGTTAGTATGAATAGAATTCAACTAATAATATAATTATAAAATATATATAATTAAAATAATATATTATTTGAGCAGATAAAAAATGAAAATATAAAATAATTTATTTATTTATTTTATTTGACCCACTTAAAATATGAAAATACTTATGGTGTGTTTGATTAAATTAGTTTACACTTTATAAGTTTTAAGTTAAAAGTTGTCTGGAGAGTTGAAAACTTACTAGTTAATTGATTGAATTGAAAGAGATTGAAAAAATGAGTTAATCAATGTAAAATGATATATTTATTTATTTATTTGATAACGAGAGTGAGAAAATAACATGTAGATAAAATAATTTCTAAATTAAAAAAGATTTAAAAAATATTAACTTAAATATATTTTTAGTCTTTTAAATTTAAGATAAATTTATTTTTAGTCATTTAAAATTGAAACTGCTCTTTTTAGTTTCTATATTTTTTTAAAAAAAATTATTTTAATTCTTATACTCAATTTTTGTTAGAGAGTCTGTCAAATATTATCGCATAAAATATTGAGTTTATTAACAAAAATATCATATTAAATATAATTCAAAATGTATAATTGTCTCAATTTATCATTTAAAGATATAATATTAGTGTCTTGAGGAATTACAAGATTTTTGAAAATTACAAGAACTAAAAATAATCGTTTTAAATTTGAGGGACTAAAAATAAAATTATTCTAAATTTAAAAGACCAAAATCATATTTAAATCAAAAATACTTTAAGTAAATTAATAAGGAAAAATAATGAAAAAGAGAAATAAGTAAGAACTTTAAAGCTAAAAGTTATTTCAATTAATTTATGAAAATAAATTATAAACTCTTAAAATGAATTTATCAAATTTGATTATTTTTAAAACTTTTATCAAATACATTTTCATTAATTAATAATACACTTTTTATTTTTTTATTTCTTAAATATCTTTTTCAGATTTTTTTTTGAAAGATAAATATATTTTTAAAAAGTGCTTTTTTAACGAAAAAAATACTTTTAAAAGTATTTTTCAAAAAAAAATTAAATCTTATAAAATTAATTGTTATATCAAGACCCAAATTACCAATTCTAAAAGAAAGGAAGAATATGAATATGTTTGGATTCGGATATGTAAGTATTTTTAAGAGTTTTTTATTAAAAAATATTATTTATTTTTAATAGAAAAATTAAAAAAAAAAAACACTTGTAAACTGCATTCAAAATGTTCTGAATAATATTTAAATTTGAAAAGTGCTTTCTTTTTCTGCAAGAAAATAAAAAAATCCTTACAATATAACAATTACATTATAAATGTGTAATTAAAATAAAAATATTTAAAATATTTATTATTAGTTAAATTTTTTTA